TATTTGCAATCCGAGCCACAGTGCAGCGCCCTGTCTTCACAGAATTTTTGTACGGAGTTGAAGTTAAAGTTGATTTTAGGAGAGAAGAAGAAAGCGACGCAAACGCGAACGTAGAGGAAATGTGACAGCAGAAAGTTTGAAGCAGTTTCAACAGCAGCAGTAAAAGAACATCACTGATGCTACAGCGGAAATAGTTTGTTGCATTCAACATTTTGTTTGAGCTTAAGTGAATGTCATCAACAAAGTGAGCAATACATAGCTCTCTACTTACGGACAACACAACACAACACAGCACAGCCAGGCAGGACGTAAAAGCTGCAACAACAACAATGTTGAAATCATTATTAAATGACCAACGTCATTACTTTGTGCATTCATATCAACAACAAAAACAATGCCGGCAGCTGTAAACACCAAGAATAAGTTGCTGCGAATGCAAAAGTTAGACATATTTGTTTCCTAATGCAATTTTTCACAACAAGCGAGGCAGGGCGAGAAATAAGGCGACGACGGGGTGAGTAGAGGCGAAATATGAGTGTTTGTGAAAGTTACATCAAGCCGAAAATAATATTAAAATACTGAAAATTCGCAATTATTTTAGAGAAAAAAATATACTTGCAGATAGCGGAGATGCATCAAGGTAGGGAAACAAAATATTGTCCCGTCAAAACAATCACTTACCCCCCTAAAGTGGCAGATTTAAACATTTCTTTAGCCGATATTGTGCAACTACGTGTTTAAAAGTACAAATAATAGAACTTAGCTACACTGCAATTCAACCGATTAACTACAATTTTTAATGAGAATTATAAAAAAACTAGTGTTCGCCCAATGGTTGAAATTCATCCACTAAAATTAAGGAATGGGTAAAATGAAGGGGAGTTTAACTTATAGCATAACATAACAAACCATGAAATATGATTAAATAACATAACATATGTAGCGTAACATACCATAACATAGCACCGCACATTCTTCAGGTGGATCTGCTTTTGTCTCTATTGTTTCTTTATTTTTATGTTTATGTTTATGTTGATGTTTATGTTCATCTTCATCTTCAAAAAAAGAATAAAAATAAAAAAATAATAACACTGAAGTCTTTATTCGTAACTGGCAGAAAAATATAAATATTAAAACAAGAACAAAAAAATAAAAGATATCGCAAAAGCGAAGTCTAAATTTGTAGAGTAGCCTCCTCCTGTGGGCTTCGTAATTGGCAAAAAAATAAAAATATGTATAAAAAAAACATAAACAAATTCGTAATTCGTAAAAAATAAAAAATAAAAAAAAAACAAGTAAGAAAGTCTAAGTTCGGGCGGAGCCGAACATTAAATACCCGGCGCAAGTATTAAATATATGTTTTTCCACCTTTCCGAAAGCTACTGCTACATGATAAGCCGGGGTATATACATTTTAAGTAAATTAGCGTCCTTAAATTTCGAAATATTGACGTTTCGAGCATTTCTAAAATTTACCGTTATATGAAAAGCGGCCTCAATTTTAGTCCGATTTCAACAATTTTCAACGGTTTGCTTTTATGTGGCAAGCACAAGCACCGAGCTTGGTACAAATTGCTAGAACGGTTAGCGAGATACATATATGTGATCTCAAGTGGGCGGTGCTACGCCCATTTTCCAAAATTTTGTCATAAACGTATTTCTTGGTAAAGAATTGTTGCAATCATCAATTTTGAATAAATTAGCTTCAATATTTACTGATTTATCGAAGATTTTGTATTTCTCGAAATTACCGTTATATGGGATGTGGGCGTGGTTATTGTCCGATTTTAAAAATTTTCGGCCAGTTGGTATGCTGTACCAGGACCAACAATTGTGCCAAGTTTGGAAGAAATTGGTGTAGCGGTTACCAAGATATACACATGTAACCATAAGTGGGCGTGGCTACGCCCATTTTCCAAAATTTTGTAATATTCTTATTTTTCGTCTAAAACTCATTGCACATATCAATTTTTAGTGAATTATCTTCAGTAGTTACTAAAATATCGCAGTTTTCGTTTTTCTGAAAATTACCGTTATATGGGAGGTAGGCGTGGTTATTGTCCGATTTTTAAAATTTTCAGCCATTCAGTATGTTGTACTAAGGCCAACAACTGTGCCAAGTTTGGAAGAAATTGGTGCAGCGGTTACCAAGATATACACATGTAACCATAAGTGGGCGTGGCTACGCCCATTTTCCAAAAATTTATAATATTCATGTCCATCTGAAACTCATTGTAAGTATCAATTTTTAGTGAATTATCTTCAGTAGTTACTAAAATATCGCAGTTTTTGTATTTCTGAAAATTACCGTTATATGGGAGGTAGGCGTGGTTATTGTCCGATTTTGCCCATTTTCAATACCATCCGTCCTACGCCCAAAAGAAGTTCACGTACCAAGTTTCGTTAAGATATCTCAATTTTTACTCGAGTTATCGTGTGCACAGACGGACGGACGGACGGACGGACGGACAGACAGTCACCGCTTAATCGATTTCTCTTTTCATTCTGATCATTTATGTATATCTATCTCGATTCGTTTTGCCTGTTACAAACAACCGTTATGTGAACAAAGTTATAATACCCTTGTGCACAAGTGCGCTCGGGTATAAAAATAGTGAAGTCTTCATTCGCAACTGAAAAAGGGAAGTCGCAGTGTAGCCTCCTCCTGGTGAGTTCGGAAACTACATTTCGGATTTTTAAAATCAAACTTCAAATTCGTGATCAATGAGTCTAAAAATCATAGAGTAGCAAGTTTTAAGCCATTCCGATAAGATTTCGAATATTGGCCACTTTTTATCTTTTGCTGGCCCATAGTGCAATGCAATGTAAAATCCAAACACATATCTAACCATGCAATGTCACCAATATCTTGTGTGTTTAATACTGTTATAATACACCACCGATAAAACGGCTTTTGAGGTATTCAAAGGAAACTGCTTACCGAATCTGTTAATTTTATTGGACTTTTAATATTACGTATACGCCATGCCAACCGTAATAAAACAGAATCCTTTTATAACGTTACTTAGAATCCAGTGCAATGTCGATTTAAAATATGATGCATAGAATATTTCTTACTCAAACTGAAGGGAGTAAAACAAAAAGCAAAGAAAATATTGCCAAAATATGATTTATATCCACATCTATAAGTGTCTATATACATACATACCCATGTATATGTGCGTATGTGCATATCTATCTTGTACTGATCAATATTGCAATTCCTCCAATGTAGAAAAAAGGGAAACGAAAATATGACGCAGTAAAAGTGGCGATTTTCGAGTGACAGAGCAAAGTGCAAAACTTTCGACCCAATGCAACAAACTTAAATTCATACACACAAATATGTGTATAAATATAGTACAGTAATGTCCAATTGAACGTTGATAAGTGAACGTGTTTTATCTTTGCTTATGTATTTGTATTTGTATTTTGTTTCCCTAGCACAATTTATATTTTCCAAATTATTATTGTTTAAAACAACGCAAAGTTTATATGTGCAATTGTTTGAAAAAATATGCTGCGTTGTACATATGTCAACAGAAGTATGCAGAGCTTTGTTGTCTCCACGCATTTCTGAAAGAAGAAATCGATCAAAAGTTGGCGAGTGAAAATGCAACAAAAAGCTATTGTTACTATTCCAAGTGGTATATGAAGTTTCAATCGATATATGTATATGTAGTTACTCTATAAAACTATACATAACACAGATACACACAAATCCAAGCAATGGATAAAAAGTGAAAAAAAATGCTTCTAAAGGGATTTTCTAAACTTTCAATGACATGTCACGAAGTCAAATAGCTTTGCAATAATATTTTAGTTTACCACAGTTTTTATTAGTTTAAAATGTTGGATAAGTTATTCTAGACTTGAGTGCAAGCAAAAGACAAAACAATTGGAAATTAGAAAACCTAAGTTTGATAATAGTTTCCTAAGCAAGTATTTATACACGTACGCATGGAGATTTTTCGTTCTATATAACAAAGTTTTTGATTATTATAACTTTATCAGAACGAGTGAATGCTTATAATACTGTGGGGATGCCAAAATAACACAAATGAACGGCAAAACTCGTGAACTTAATTTTGGGTCGAGTACCGTTTTTCTAGATCAGATCAGTTGCAAAACCGCTTAAATCGTCGTTGTGCCAAAAATGAGATTTGGTAACCCTGAACTCCAGTCATAGAGATTTATGCATCAAAATCGTAGCATCGATATTAAAACAACAGATTTGTAAAATAAAGCTAGAGAAAATAAGCCTTCCTGGCAAGTTAAAAAAAAAATTTATAAGCACCAAAAATTAATTTTCTAGCGGATACCTAATTATTTAATTATTTTCTGTTTCTTTATACCCATTATTCTATTCTATATCCGGAATGAATAAAAAAACAAAACAGAACCAAAATCTTGGTGTCAATGACTTCTGTGAGTTCAAAGTCGTTTGCGAAACCCTACACCTTTTATACATTTGGATATGTGCTAATATATGTATGTATTTATTTAGTATGTGTATACATATGTACATATATAATTTTCTTTGCAAAGTAATCATGTCGAGAAAATCGTTTAAAGATAAAATTTTATGAATGAATGACTTTCTGACGGTCCATTAAAGATATCAAAAGAATGTTCTGCAGCGATAAATAAATGCCACTTGCCGGCTGGCGTTAACCAAGGCAGCTAGTGCTGCAAAAATGCCAAACAAAATCACGTACCCACCAACAATATCGTCGCCAAGCACCGCAACGATAAAGCTCCAAAGCGCGACAACGTTCCCAGCGACTACTGAAATGCGAAATGGCACATTTGTGCGCAGCAGACAAGAAAATATGGAATCAACACAATTATCGCCGCAACACCTGACCCGAAAAATAAGCTGCATTTAGCGGTAGAGTTCACTGCACACATCTAAGTATATATATGTATGTATGTATGTACATAAATGCAAACGGCAGCGTGATTGCATGCCAGCCAACGTAAACGAGCATACAGAGTGAAAAGAACAGGGCTATAGCAGAAGTTTTCTAAATTAATGACCGCTAACTGTGTGCCCGCGTTTTCTTTAAAGATGTGAGAATGAAACAAAATTCACGCACAACCTCTAGAATCTGGCGAGCGATGCAAGTTAGTAGTGGAGAAGATACCCTTCTACATATCGTGCACTGCCAGTGGAGGCAAAGCAACGTTGTCACAATCACAGCACGTGGAAATTTGATATGAAAAGTTCAAGCGCAAGTTTTGAGACGTGCGATATAGTTTGCTACCTTATTGTGGATGCTGGCGAGTGCATATAAAACCATTATGGTTACAGTATCTGACGATTAGTCAAGACAAAGCCAAGAGCCAGTGCGCCGTAAAAGTGCAACTTCAAGCCATAGGAGCTTTACTACAGCAAACTGCTGAATTCAGATTTGTCTCAACGCTCGGCACATCTTTTAGCCACCGCTTCAGCGCTGCAACACTGTACCCGAAGGAGAAATGTTGGTATCACACGGCATACTGCACGTGTTCAGAGACCTACGCATCGCCGGCATTGCAATTCATTTTTGGCTACTCTTGACCCAACTAGCGAGCGTGTCCGCAGTCAGTGACAGTGCGAGCAACGACAATGCCGTCAGCATAGTCACACCAACCAGTGCTCACCTCGACTTCGGCATACGTCAGCAACTGCTGGTGGCGCCACCACCGCCGCCGCCACGGCCATTGATGGACAAAACATTGACGACACACTGTGGTAGTGAGGACAACACTAACTGGCGGCCGGTATGCGCCACAGCAAACAATGTCGACTATGTGCTATTCGGTAGCGAATGTTTGCTATGGCAAACCAACCGTGAGCGCCAAGAGTTGGACACAAGGGAAGTAAGGCCCGGTGAGTATTACCCACCCACTCAGCAGCGGGTGGTGAGCTTTATGTGCCACTGTGTCACGGGATAAATGTTCTATATAGTTTCCGAAATTGTTTGCATTGTTATTTTTAATTTTTGTTTTGTTTTTTTCTTTTGCTCTTTGTACGAAAAGTTTTTAGGAAAATTGCGATGGGATTTTGTCGACCAAATTGTAGTGTTGTAATTTGCGTACACAACGAGCAAATGATTTGTGCGCGGAATTCACAGAATGGCGAAATACACAGCTTCAGCGGAGGAGATTGTGACGTGGCACGGGATATATGCCTAAATGGCAATGGTATGTATTCATACTCAAATTTGACTTAAAAATCTGAAATAGGCAAATTGAATTGTGAAAGCTCCAATAAGCGGACAGTGATATTTTTTTCGATACTCGGAAAGTCTTTTTCCTCAACGTTATGTTATTTACATTATTTCTGTTCTCTCAATGCCAATTGAAATATATGGGATGTTAACACCGATCAATGTTTAAGGATTGCTGGCCAGCTTAAGGAGATTAATAGGTTAGGATTTTAAACCTAAATTCGAATCAGCTGCATTTCATAGTAGTAGGTTGAACAAGGAAGTTGATTAGCAACAAGAGCTTACGGTGGTGTGCATAACTCAGTTTTCAGCGCTTCTGACTTTGCACATGGATGAAGCAGGTTCGATTCTTGCTGAAACCTAGAAAAAGAAGTCTGATAAGAAGATGTGGTAATCTCCGAAATAGCAGCTATTACTTCTACCACTTAGACTTTATTGCTTTTTCCGTTTTTCCTAAAAAACAAAATCGTGGTACAAAGCTCAATAACACTATTGAAAATAAATCGGTTAATATAAATTCTTCTCATTTGGCACTACAACCGTTTGTCGAGACCAAAACATTTCTGCACTTTCCCGGAAAGACCTGTGCGAATTTGCGCCAGTTGCTAATCCCGAATGCAGAAAGGTCCCTCTGCACTTGGTACTTCTATTTTGTCCGTGGGCGCCCTTACTTTCGTTGTCCACCCATGGGTGCGGAGTCGATGGATTTTTTCACCGGAGCGCTGTCATAAATGCGTATAACATGTCCAAGCCAGCGCACGGGCTGTATTTTTTTATGCGCTTAACTATGACTATGTCGTTAAAAAACTCATAAATCTCGTCATTCCATCTTCTCCAATACCCATCGTCCACGCGCATAGGGCCGAAGATCATGCTTAGAATAATTCTGGAATAGATTGACGATTCAGCCGTTCACACAGTATCATCGAGAGGACCTTGTACCTTGTCCCTCCTTGTGGATTGGAAAAAGTACACTAGGATTCCAGTCTTCGGGCATGTAATCTTCAGACCGAATTCTGCTTAAAAGCTAGTCATGCGCCCTACTAATTCTTCGCCACCGGCTCAGCCGGAATACTGTCGCCTCCGGTAGAATTATTGCCCTTAAGTCGCCTTATTTCTGTTCTCACCTCACAGAATCATGAAATTGATTATGTTTAAAGACTTCCCCCTAAATATTTCGGAAAAACATTAAAATTTACGTGAGCTGGGCCGATTTTAAAATACCTCCAAAAACCGAGTTTGTATACATATGTAATCTACATGAATGGGCTGCATGAATTCATTCAATGGGCTTATGAATTATTCATATACAAACGGAATGAATGATTTTGGCTTACTTTTTTTTTAAATTAAAGTGAATACCTTTTCTTGTATATGTGTCGACATTACAATATTTAAACAAAGTGGACATAAATTGAATTGAAATAAATGAAAATTTTTTTTATGCATATCCAAAAATATATTTTCTATGTACATATGTATATATGTATGTATGTAGAAACCCACCAACGGGGCCTAACAGTATACAAAATGGAAAAGTACCATAAGCAAGTTGTCATGAGCGAAATCTGGCAGAATGGGAGGCAACTAACTAGATGTGTTGATGTGTGATGCGTGTTTTTAGGCACGCCTTCTATTCTTTTTGAGATTTTTGGCCATTAAAATTAGCGAATAGTAGTACTTAGTAGAGTATTCACCGCAATGAGAAGAGAGACCCGAAATACGTGAGTGCGAAGAGCTTGAGATGTCATTGAATGGCAGCAGCACTGAAAGTAGTGGAAAAGACGAACCCGAGCCCCCAGTCGATGACGATGGAGTCTATGTCCCACCGCCTGACTATGACGAGGTACAAATAATGATTACTCGACTGAAAAACAACCAAGTTTTTGGAGCTGACGGCCTGCCAGTCGAGCTATTCAAGTACGGCGGCGAGGAGCGGATGAGGTGCATGCATTAGCTCTTATGATCTTTAAGTGTGCTCTTCCCAATCCACAAGAAAGGTGACCTCGCCATTCGCGCCAACTACCGCGGGATCAGCCTTCTAAGCATAGGTTACCAGGTCTTATCGAGTGTATTGTGTGAAAGACTGCAGCCTAGCGTCAAACAACTGATTGGACCTTACCAGTGTGGCTTTGAGCCTAGCAAATTGACCATAGATCAGGTATTCACAATACGCCAAATCATGGAAAAGACCCGCGAGAATAGAAGTTATCTTTATGCCGCGATGTCTTAATTTTGTATCTCCACGAAGGGAAGGACTTCTCCGAGCCATTTGATACCAAACGCGGTTCAGACACGGTGACTCTCCTTCGTGTGTTTTCTTTAATCTGGTGTTGGAGAAGAGAATAAGAGCCGCAGAACTGAACCACTCAGGCGCAATATTTTACAAGAGCGTGCAATTGCTGGCGTATACCGACGACATCGATATTATCGGTAAAAACAAGCGCTACGTCTATTCTGCCTTCTCGGCATTAGAGAGAGAAGCAAAGCGAATGGGTATGGTGGTGAACGAGGACAAAACGAAGTATATAATGTCATCACACAAACAGTCAGAGCATACGCGTCTTGGTATACCCGTCACTGTTGACAGTTACAAGTTTGAAAAAGGTCTCCTCTACGTTGGAAAGACCAGATGGAGGAGGACTTGGCTTCACTTGGCATTTCTTTGGCATTGTTTTGGACTCGGTCAAAATCGCTTAGGCGGTTACATCCCCAATAAAGAAGAAAAAGAAAATTAGCAAATGTGGGAATCCGGCTGCTGGTGATTGAATGCCGTCAATCTTAGTAGGACTTAAGTGGCCTAGGAAGTACAAAATAACCAACCAAACCGTACCCTCGATTGAGTATTTGACCCTTATCTTTTATGGAAAGTCATAATTAGGCAGCTAGAACGCATATTATGAACTGTCCTAATTGATACTGGTGGTGTATATCGCACCAATACAACTCTAGCCCTTAACTGTATGCCGAACATAACGCCTATTGACATCCCAGGCAAAGCTTCTGCAGCAATCGGAATCAGGGAAACTATATGCCTAATAAGCACTGCGTCTTGATACTCTTAAATTTTTTTTAAATATTGACCCCTCGACATTACTTAATTGTACATTGTGGTACCGTATTAAAAAAATTCTTCGAATGGCAACTATGTTAAACTAAAATTAGCGCTGTGTGAGCACAAAAAGTTCCGCGGGCAGCTGATGTCCACTCCGAAGAGCCCTCGGGTGTGGTGATAGAATGCGCACCGAAGTGTTTAAGTGTTAAGGAGGGAGTGCTGACATAATACTACCTCGTCTTCTAGACAACTGTGACAGTAGAGACCCGGGACGATATTGAGTCGCACCGCGTAGGTCCTTAAAGGACAATATCCGGACAGTACACCTATAAGGATCAAGAGCTGGCGCTTAGCCAATGGTGACAGCTCCCTTAATCGCCCGCGGACAACAACCTGCTAGAAGAACTTTGCATGTCGGAGTTTTCGACCAGCGTTCGCGGAGCCGACTGTAAGCTCATCTGTCCAGGAGCAGACCGCAGAGGTTGCCAACGGCACTGTTATGCCCTCCCTGTTCGATGTGATGTCCTCGCCTAGCCAATTCATTAGCCCTTTCCAGTGATGTCACTTTGCCTTGGGACCAAAATCAGGTTGATTTAGAAGTATTCCAAAGCGGTTGAAAAGGAGGTGGTCAGGCATTCCCCGACCAGTTTCGATGGTACTATTAGCGATGCCAGCACCCTGATTGACGCCTGGCTATCAGTGTAGATATTTACCCTCCTATTCGGCAGTACAATGGTACCTAGCCAATCGGCTGCCTCTTCTATAGCGGCCCCTCCGCCTGAAAGGCGATGCAGAGACCCCGCAGTCTGACCGGAAGATCTACTGAGAGTTCGTAACAGTAGACCCCTCCTCCAACTCTTCCGTCCAGCTTCGATCCGTCCGTGAAGGTGTTTATGGGACCTCCACTCCAGAGACTCCTAATCTCCCATTCGTTCCTAGGAGGGATGTGAGAATGATCGTTTTGGGTCCAGCCTCGGAACAGTCCGGTCCATTTCCACACAGTACCACAGCCACAAGCTATTTCGCTAGCTACATCAGTTACATAGGCAATGATCCACCACAACCACAGCTACATATTGTGGGCAGTTTAGAGCATTTAGAATATTTTAACTTTTGACAGATATTGCTACATACCACAGCCTCACCATTCTGGTTAGCCAGTTAACGCTAGAGTAGGAGTAGTCCGGAGGGCTCTGTTGATTGGTGCGATAGCCGCCCAGTAAATAATAGAAAAAGGGAAGTATGCAGACTTAAAAAACTGATTGTAATTCGTCTTAGAAGGCCTAACTGAAGGTCCTTTATGACAAATTTACTGCAACAAGGAAGGTAAAACTCCAAGCAAATTATACCCAAAACAATAAGAATTGCTTTTTTACTTTTATTTCCAAACCAAAAAATAACTTTTTTCTAAGCAGTAAATTCAATTTAATAAATAATGATCAAAAGTAGTTTTTAGTCAAACTTATAATCGTTACGGTCACAGGTAGTATTGGAACATATGCGTGTGTAAACAGGCACCCTGTTATCTACCATCGTGCAGCATCAGCCTCCAGCGATTTTTACTCATAAATCTTGCAATATTATACTTCTGTGATGATCTCTATTTAATTGCTATAATTATTACAGATTGGCAGCGAATCGCCGAAAGCGCTTGCGCAATAACCTCCGATAGTTCAGCCAGCATCTCAACAATCGTCTCAACTACCAAGACTTCAATGCCCACCTCGGTAACAGAAAATGCAAAACTCACCGAACACGCACACACTCAAGTAACCAAATTACCGAAGAAGCAAACAAAGAAATCTCCACGCAAAGCTATACCTTGCCCAAAGATATTTAATCCCGTTTGTGCCGAACTCCTTGGTGTAAAGGCGACTTTCATCAACGAATGCCTAGTGAATGCAGAAAATGTGAATTTTGGCAAAAGTATGATGAAAACGAAACCGATACACAGCATCTTTCATCTGAGCCATCAAAAACAAACATAACTCATACCATTCATTCTCTTACAGATTGGCAAATATTCTCTGAGGGCGTCTGTGCAGAGGATTATGCCAGCTCAGAAACACACAAGAACGTGTTGAACAAACGCAGCACAGTTGGCAGTGCGGCTGTTACGTATCAATTAAATCCAAACGAAAAGGAATTCAGTGGCAATACGTCATGGATGGCAAATACGCAGTCTGTTTCAGAGAATATATTAAGTTTATATGGAGAACAAGTGCAAAAAAAAGACATCCAATCCAGTCAGCCATATGATTCATCAGCCTTTGCCCAGTTAACGATGCAGACGACACCTCAACATACTATACGCATTCTGCCGATGGTTGATGATCATGTGGCTGTTTGCAAATTTGGCGCTGCACCAGTTTGTGGCAGTTCTACGAAATACACGACGCACAGTTTTGAAAATATTTGCGAGCTTTTGTTGCGAAACATCATTTTGAATGAATGTGAGTAGTAGTAAAATAAGTTTTCATAAATTTTTGTGTTGCATCTTGAAACGAGTGGCAAAAAACTACACCACAAGTATTTGGCGCTTTAACTTTTGTGATGTGGGTTTGACCGAAAATTTCCTGTAATTTCTAGTTTTGACTGATACTACTAGTTAAATGGATTTAGGTCAGATAGTTTTTACGAGAGTTTCGGCCGTTTGCCATGAGCAGCCGAGGTGTTAGGGACACATGATGTAATAATACAAGGTGGTATCAGTTATGACAGCTCGATTTGACACTACCTTAGCTCAGTAGAATAAGAAGAAAAACGGGAAGAAATGAATCCCCTTTTGGGGGAAAAATATAAAATTTCATATTTTCTTCTAAAAAAAAATTGTTTTTTATAGTATATTCGCAATGAAATGAAATAAAATAAGATATAATCCCTTTTGGAGAAAGCAAAATGTGTATACTGAGAAAAAATTAAAAAAATAAGCTATATTATTAGGCAAAGAATTGTTAAAGAAGTAACACTGTTTCACCTAAGGCAGTCAATATGGCGGAATTAGAGCGAGAAGTTGCCAGCCGATAACACCTTGTATTATTGCATCATGGGAGGGACATACATACATACATATATTAGTGTTGATTTTGGAGAAGATTTGAACGTGCCTAATGAGCTTTATAATTTGTGCCTAAAAGTCTCATAATGTACCAAAAATAATGACTTTTTATTATTTAATGCGAGTCGGTACATACCAAATTTGTCCATATATTTGGTGCAATACAGGGGTTGTGGCTTATTTGCGCAACTATGCAATTTCCAATTCGGCATTTAACCGTGGTTGCGCATATTGGCCATTTCCATATATTATAGTTTAGAAATAGAAGAGACTGATGCTTTGGCTTGATGCATTTCTGAACACAGTGACACATAATCTCCCTTAAATCGTCTGATGTATAAGATCGAATGGGCTATTGAGTCTAAGCAGGTTACTCTTAGTGGATTCTTTGGCATGCAGATTTCCATAATGCTGCCTGCGGCTATATTTCGTATTTCTTTACTCAGTCTATGATTAACAAGAATCTAACAGACTAGTTAAAAAAAAAAGTGTCTAATACAATTCAACAAATTAACTTACAACAAGGAAAATAAAACATTCTTAAATCAAAGCCAAGTTAAGGCAAAATTATTAATACCAGTTAGCGTACGTGTAATTGGTCCATTCAATGCATACTTGGACTTAAAATTATCAATGACAAACATATTTTGCCGGCACAGATTCTTATGTGGCACATGAAAGTTCAAAGACTCTAAGAGGTAATGGACAATCGATGTATATATATAATATATATAAAATAAAAGTAATTGTCGATATTACTCTTCCACTCTGCAATGTGTGTAAATTAATTAATTTGCACCAGGAAGCATAAGGAGGTAGGGGCAAGTCGAATTTGAGATCAGATAGACAATATTTCAGAACAGTTTTTTGAACCGGTTCAATTCTTTTATTATGAACTTCGTATAGGTACTCCATACTATGGAACCATATTCAAGTCTTAAACTCCGAGCTATTCCGTTTAATAAAGGCTAGCATCGAAGAGGCTTTAGGAATTACAACATTGAGATGTTCAGTAAACGTGAAAAAGGCATCGAAAACAATACCCAAATCACAAATTTTGTCAACCCTAGCTAACGGCGCACAGGGCTTTCGACTATATGGAGGCAGATAGACAAAAGTCATGGAGACAATTGGTAAAAAAAAACGGTTGGACTTAGAGAGGGAAAAGTAAAAGTCGCAAATACTACATTTCACATTATTTACTCACCCCCCTTCTTCACGAACGATACATTTCCAAAAAAAAAAGACGGGAATGGACGCGATTCCGACTAATGAGTTAAGTTGCCTTTGGCGATTAACCCATTAAAGAAAATGTTTCTTTTTCAACTGTAATCAATTATTTAAACATCGTGGAATATTCAGGCGAAGGTATTTGTTATTTATTTATTACTTTGAAATGTAGTTGCTAAAGATTATTAGTAAAAAAAAGTGTGAGTACCGGTCCGTCAGGTCTTGAAATTAGACAAATATTTTTTAGAGAATTTTATATAGTTTTAGAATATATAATTTGATCTTTGAGTGCGACTTTGCAAATATATGTAATTTTTGATTTTCTTAAATTTTTATTTTCAGCTTCTTTTTGCATAATTTCGTGAAAAGAATTTTCGAACAATGAAAAAATCTCACCAAACATTGGGAGAAAAGCGAGCATTTACACCTGAGTCATTTTATAGTATAACCTTTGTTTTCTCAGAGTGGAAAGCAGGAAAAAAACAAGTAAGAGCAGCGCTGTCTTCGGCTATGCCGAAGGCTTCATACCTTTCATGAACATCTGCAAATTTTACTTTGACAGATTACTGCTTTTGAGTACATCTGCATACATCGATAGAGGAGTTACATACCTATATAAAAAATCGCATCTGAACAAACAGAGGTATGGAAGATATACCTTATATTAGCACCAATCTAAGTGATTTTCACTGCTATGTGATCGGTATGTAAACCGACACAATTTATTGGGTTTAGTTTCCTACATAAAGGAGATATATCGCAAAAACTGGTATCTGAACAATCAGTGCTATAGGAGATAAAGCTTATACAGCATAGATTTTGACGATTTTCTCAGTAGACTTTGTATTATTATTTATAAAATATCTTACGAAATTTATCGGTTTTAGCTGTTCAAATAAAGGAGTTTTACAGTAAAATCCCATATCTGAACAATCAGATGTATGGAAGATATATGTTGTAGTCACCCGATCCTTGTTATTTTCACTGTAAGTATTCTGTTAATAATGAGTGAAAATGGTGCGAAATTTCATGTTCCTAGCTGCATAAATGCATGAATTATAACGAAAAATCTCATATCTGAACAATCAGTTGTATGGGAGCTATAGGTTATAGTTATCCGATCTTTTTAATTTTCACTGTAAGTTTTCTGTTGATAATTATTGAAAACAGTGCGGAATTTCCTGTTCCCAGCTATATAAATGGAGGAGTTATAACGAAAAATTTTATATCTGAACAATCAGTTGTATGGGAGCTATAGGTTATAGTGAACCGATCTTTGTAATTTTCACTGTAAGCATTCTGTTAATAATGGGTGCAAGTGCTGCAAAATTTCATGTTCGTAGCTGCATAAATGTAGAAGTTATAACGAAAAATCTCATATCTGAACAATCAGTTGTATGGGAGCTATAGGTTATAGTGACCCGATCTTTGTAATTTCCACTGTAAGTATTCTGTTGATAATAGGCGCAAGTACTGCAAAATTTCATGTTCCTAGCTGCATAAATGGAGAAGTTATAACGAAAAATCTCATATCTGAATAATCAGTTGTATGGGAGCTATATGTTATGGTGGTCCGATTCTTCCGGTTCCGACAAATGATTAATACATTATAAAAATACACCCACTTACCAAATTTGATCCGGATATCTCGAAAACTAGATTGCATACAAACAGACAGACAGACGGACAGACGGACAGACGGACATGGATAAATCAACTCAGCTCGACGTTCTGATCAAATTTTAATGGGTCTATCTCTTTTTGTTCTGGTACTTACAAACATCGGACCAAAGTTATAATACCATTTCATGCTCATGAAAGGTATAAAAATAAACCAAAATTCCATCGCATTTAATGACTGGGCACACATTTTTTGTGAGTTTTGGACGTCGTATTGATCCAATGTTCCCCATATTTTATATTTAGGTTTTTCTAGTAAAATTAAGACTACAAACTAAATTTCTTCGAAATCGGATGAAATTTAATGTTTGCGCCCACAAGAGTAGAGGGCGTGGTAATTATTCCATCTTTACTAAATTTAATAATTCTCTATTTCTAAGTAAAACTAGAGCACATGTCAAGTTTCGGTGAAATCGGTGCTGGTGTACTATTATTTCTACCTATGTACCTCCATATAGTCGAAACACTGTGCATCGTCATCCATGCGCAGAACATGTGCAAGCCAGTGCAATCGTTGTATTTTCATGCGCTTCGTTACTCGTCGCCCACGCGAACCGGGCTATAGATTTTGCGTATAATAGTTCTCTCAAAGGCACAAAGCCTTCTCGGCTTAGTTAGGCATAGTCCATATTTCTGCACCATATAAAAGGACGGGAATGATGAGAGATTTGTAGAGCGCGAGTTTTGTTCGTCGAGATTGGGCTTTGCTTTTCTATTAACTACCGGGTGCAAAGTAGCACCTGTTGGCAAGAGTTTTCTTCGCGATATTAAGCTGGATCCTAAGTAAACAAAGTCCTTCACTATTTCAAAGTTATGACTGCTAACAGTGACGTGTGTCCCATTACGCTAAGACTTTTTTTGTGTTGCCAGTAGGTACTTTGTCTTGTTCTCGTTCATTGCTAGATCAACCTTGTTAGCTTCTCTTTCTTAGCTGAAAAATTATGCCCTGACATTCCTGGGTTTTAGGAAATTATTTCAATATCCTCTCCATATTCCCCTGCGATTCATATTAGCAGCTCTCATAGCGCTTTCTAGCATCAGATGGAAAAAATCCCATGAGAGCGAACCGCCTTATCTAAAAGCTATTTTGGTTTCAAGCAGCGAGGGGAGGTCCCTCCCAATTTGGACGGAGCTGACTTCTGTCTACATACCCGTATTAGTTTTGCGGAGAACCCAAATTTAGACATGGCATCGCACAGGAAGCTTCTCTTCGTGCTATCAAAAGCAGCTTTAAAATCAACAAAAAGATGGTGTGTGTCGATTTGCATATCGAGTGTCTTTACCAGAATTTGACGTGCTGTGAAAATGTGGTCAATGGTGGACTTACCAAGTCTGAATCCACACTGAAAAGTTCAAGTCAGTTGGTTCGTGAACCAACGGCGTGGATTGGACAAAGTATGTACACTGGTATTTCAACCTTCGGGCATGTATTAATCACACCAAATTCTGCTTAATAGCTCGTACATGCGCCCGACCAGCTCTTCGCCGCCAGCTTTGAGCAGATCAGCTGGGATACCTTCGGCTCCGGGGCCTTGTTTTTTTTAAGCCGCCTTATAGCTGTTCTCACTTCGTCTTGGTCAAGTGGAGGAACGTGAGCTTCGGCCCTATACCTTGGCTCGGGTTCTTTTTCTTAAAACGCGCCACCTGTTTCGCCATTCAAAAGCGTTGAAAAGTGGTCCCTCCACATCTCAAGTGTACTCTGGAGATCTGTTACCAGATTTCCATCTTCATATCTACAGGAACCAGCCCCGGTCTTGAAACCGTTGGATTGGTGCCTTATTTTATTCGAGCCGCATTCCTGACTTCCAGCATCTCAAACTCTCCGTATTTACGCCTTTATGACTCTCATTTCCTTGAAGAGTTTCTTGTTTAAGCAGGATGGAGAGTCGATTGTGAAACTTCTCGGCTCTTCTCGGCTGTTTGTTGTGAATGCAGCTTCTCGACGTCGAACTTTCGCCGCGTTGTCTGACACAAGTTCTTCATTTCACAGAGCCGCATTCGGACTTGGCTGCTACGAGGTAATGATCTGAATCGATGTTGGCTCCTCGCATATAGCACACATCAGGAATGCTCGAAGCGTATATTCCGTCTATCACACCCTGGTGTTAAAGTCGCCCAGCACGATTTTAACATCGTGGCAGAGGCAGCGCTCATATGCTTCCTCTAAGCGCTCGTATAACTGCAATTTAGTTTCATCGTTCTTCTCCTCTGTTCGGGCGTGCGCACAAATGAAGCTCACGTTGAGTAGTAGCCGTGCAACTGTAACTGCATAACCAGAATAACGGCTATTCCCCATTGCACTCGTCGTGCAGTGCAACTTTTTACTAAATGAAAATCTGATCGAAAATTCTGAATATAAATATTTATGTACATATGTAGGTCTGTAGGTACATTGCACGTACTTTAATTAACCATCGCATATGTAATAAACACATTTTATTTTAACTTGCATTTAACATTTAATAAATTCTTAATTATATATATTCTTTACCTTTAATTAGCTTGGAGCGTGGTTAACGAGGGTAAATGCCAGAGGTGTGTACTGAATTGTCCCATCGATTACGAACCGATATGCATATCCCGCAACGGGCTCAACTACACTATAATCAATCAATGTCATTTGGATTATGCTGTTTGTCGAAATAAGCAGAGCGGTGAGTAACTTTCATGAATTGTTACTTTCATTTCAATAGACAGAGCCTCAGAGAGAAGATGGTCATAAGAGAATTAACAAATGCTCCTTTGATTCGTTTTCGTCGTCCGTACGTGGGCAAATAAAGCTAGAATGCCCATGAAAACAATGGAAGGTAATTGGCAAAGTTCTCTGGTCTCGGCCCAAATCGACGAACAATTGTACTTCTAGGCAAGGTTTCTGAGCGGAACGGAGCAAAAGAGTAAGGAGCTAAGAAGCAAAGGCTTTTGGCTGGAGCGGAGCTGTAGCAAAGAGCTGAAAAAATTCATTTGCTGCTGAGCTCCTTAATGAAAATTAAACTTACTTAATTTTTTTATTTTTGGCTACTGAAAACAACTGTAAAAACTCAGTTGTGCAAGACTTAAGGCATTGGCCCAATGTACGCTTGCTTTGCTTGCTTCGCCTTGAGAACTGTCAAACATTTTTTGAACTCTACTAAAATGCATGAAAGTTGTCCAAATGCTTCAAATTGCTTCAAATGCTTCAAAGTTTCGAATAGCCAAAACCTCGCGCTTTTAAGAAAAGTTGCCTAACTTCGACAATTTTTACGCGATTGCAATAAATGAGATATCAGTTTATTTGAAATTGTGGTAATGATTGATGTCAAAATTAAAAAAAAAAATACGAAAAAGTTATTTTTTTTTTTAGTTTTCCCAATAAAAAATGCCAACAATCCAAGTCTGACAATAGACTGTTATACACCATTTTAAACGCCTATATATCCTCTTCTCAAATCATATTCGATCTTTGAAGTCGAATTAAAAATAGTCATTCAAAAATTCATAAATCTACAAAATCGTATTTTTTGACCTAAATTGACAGGTTGCGACCTCTAAATGACCTTTAAAAAATCTATAAAAATAGGCAATAAAATTTCTCATAAAAACGAATAAAATTAGGGGAAAGGGTCTTGAAATTTAAAAAAAAAAAGCATTTTCGATAGTCTTATAACTTTTCGTGTTCATGGCATATTTTTCACACCATGCACAATTGCATATCCATTGATAAGGACAACAATAAGTCATTCGAATCAAATGTTTTACACTCCTCATTTTTTTCTATTTAATTAAGTTTCCTTTATCTACTTTCTTTGCAGATTTCACAATCCTTGGCAAAGGTGAATGCGCAAGTGTTTTGAAAAGCATAAGCCAGACAACAATGCCCAGTCCAACTCCGCATGAAGTACACTCACCCAGACATGCGAGGAAAATTTTGGAATCATCGGCACAATTAGAAAAAATCAAGGCTCCAGTTGAAATTGTGGGTGTGCCAAAAACTTCTTCAGAAATATCTGATAAGAAATCTGTTAAGTACAAGAGTGGCACAGACAAATCGTTTACTTCAAAAACAGCCAAAAAGCCTGCCGCAATAAAATCACATATAATGAATTTGTGGCGCAGCTCGAAGAAGAGAAGATCACGCATTGCAAAGAAAAAGTAAAATTTTAAAAATTGTTATTTGTTATACTCGGCATAATGCTGATGTTTTTTTTTATAATTTTGTATGTATATAAACTTATCGGTACAATATTTTTATAAGAAATTGTTAATAAACCTTTGTGGAAATTTTTTATACTATGTTGAGAAATATTTGACCTTATGTATATTTTGAAATTCTTAAAATCATTGGGAATATAATCTCTAGGAGCATATGGCCATCAAGAAAAAATTGAGAAATTCATCGGTTACCCTTTTGTAGGGTTTAGGGCTCTCAAAAAATCACTCTGAAAGAGAAATGCTACGTACATAAGGAGTAAACAAATATATTTGGTATTACTCGGAATACCTTCAGCGGCACTGATTTTTATTTCATAATTTTGACTTATAAAAATCAAGTTTAATCATTATTTTTTGAGTTTTATTTTTTATGTGTTGGTGTTGGTTGATTTTTCCGACAGGGTGGTAAGAAGTTCTATTGTGGATCGAATTTCCTTCATCCCTTGTCAGCTTGATTTGCAGACAAACCGGTTTCGTTCGTCGAACGAAAAATGACACTGAAGATGGCGCAACGCCGAAACCGGTTTGTCTGCAAACCAAGCTTGACAAGGGATGACGGAAAGTCGTTCC